AAACAGAAGACTTGTGGGCTTTGGAGTAGAAGTTGATGGTATTGTTCTGTCCTCCTGCCCCTCCCCAACCCCACAGGACCCACTACAAAGGTCATGGTACATCTGGGCTCTTCGGAGGCAAAACACAACAAAAAACAAACTCGCTGCCATCACCTATACCAACTCATAGTGATCCTATAGGACAGGACTTGTACAGGCCCCTGTACATTTCTGAGACTGTAAGTCTTCATGGGATTGGAAAGGCCCGTCTTTCTCACAAGGAGCTAGTAGCCCCCAACTGGTAACCAGTACACCACCAGGGGTAAGGGCAGAATTTAACCTGCACTTGGCATTCAGCACTTAAGCCTACAGGCAGCGAAGAGCAGGGACATTCAGAGATAGAGTAGGGCAGGGGACAGGCTGTGTCCAGAAAGAGGACCAGCCCAAGTGGGGTTCCAGAAGCCTGTGAGAGAGGAGGCAGTTAGGAGCAGGTGCATAGTTAAGAGCAAAAGTCCTGATGCTTCATTTTGCCTGAGAATCTTCCAGGACTCTTGTAAAAAGCCTGTTCTGAAGCCCTGCTAAAACACACAGTACAATTCTATGTCCCTCTCTGAGAAGTATCAGGGGACTTCTGATTCATTTCACTGTACACGTCTCATTCCTGCTTTGAAGGCAGGAATGAAATGCTGTTTTACTCCTAAACTAAAGGTAATTGGGATCTTTAAAGACGGAAGTAGTAAAACAACCATGGGAAATAAAAAAAATAGCTGTCCCTCCACTTTCCCCCAACCCACTCCAAGCTACAGCAATCCAGAAAGCTCCTTCCTTCACTAATTTACACTTAGAATGTCCCAAACCAAAACCAAAACCCAACCTCACCATTGATGCTGGCTCATAGCGCCCTCACAAGACAGGATAGAAACTGCACCCGTGGGTTTCTGAGACTGTTACTTGGGAGTGTAAAGCCCCATCTTTCTCCCAAGGAGCAGCTGGTGGTTTCAAACTGCTCACTTGAGGCTAGCAGCCTGATGCATAACCAGTGTGCCACCAGGGCTCCTGATGGTTCCCCAGGTGTTGCAATTTCTCTGCTAAGCCTAGCACTCACCTGGTACTGAAACAAAGTGAGATGTACTTGGTGCGGAGGGGTCTAGGCTAAGACCTAGTATCCAAACAGAAAGGAGCTGCATTGGTTTGGGCAAGGGACAGACTGTGTTGGAAATGACCTGTCTCTGTTTCATGTGTTTAGTCCCTGGCCACCTGAGTTTCTCTAGTTCCAAATTTAGGAGTTGGGACTTAGGAGGAGCAAGGTTTAAGGTGCGGCTGAGACTGACCGTTGGATTCTCACCTGGGCTCAACCATTCAACTAGCCCTTTCTTCTGAGGGTTTCTGGTAATCTTTCGGAGCTTATTAGTGATGTCCTAGAAGGAAGGGCAACTGGGAAATCACAGGAGCGAACCCTCCAATAAAGGAGCCCTGGTGGTGTAGTGGTTGAGTAGGGCTGCTAACTGCAAGGTCAGCAGTTCAAAACCACCAGCCTGAGCCTCAGGAGAAAGACAAAACCTTCTGCTCCTGTGAAGTTACTGCCTCACAAGCCCACAGGCAAAGTTCTACCCTGCTCTATAGGGTTGCCATGAGTTGAAATTGATTCCTTGGCAATGAGCTTGGGCTTTTTTTTTTTTACCCTCAAAGGAATGAAAATAAGCAAAACCCTCCTAGTCAGGAGGTTTGGAAAGAGTCTGGCTGGGGAATGCGGCCTGAAGGTGGTCTGACAGGCCTTCTTTGGGGTTAGCCATTGACTTAGCCTGAGTTCCCCGCAAGAGGAACTGAGCAAGAACTTGAGTTGCTCTTTTGAAAGTTCCAAGAGTAGGAGTGGAGGGCTGGGCAGGCTCAGAGAAGGAAAGAGAAGGTCTTCCAAGTGTGCACTGAGCTGAGTGAGTGAGAGTCGCCGCCGTGGCTCGTGGCCCCCAAGATATGAGTGGTCTGACAGCTACGTAATGACGCAATCATCTCTGTGAAGCCATCTGAATTGGTCAGTCTGTAAAGGCGTGAAGTCACAGCCCTGCCCTGATGTAAAGGGAGTTTCCTGGGGTGGCCTGAAGCTCCTGTTATCTTACAAGAGGCAAAAGGAGAGACAAGTGGCCAGAGAAGAGGGGCCTCAGTATCACCAAAGAAGAACCAGGGGTAGAGTGCATCTTTCAGACCTGGACTCCCTATGCTGGCAACCTTATAGACCCAGGAGATTGAGACAAGGGTCTGATGGAGTCTTCCTCTGGAGCTGGCACTCTGGATTTGGACTCTTGGCTTCTGAATCTGAGAGGTTATGTTTGTTTATTAAAGCAGCCAGCCAATGGTGGTACTTTTTTTTTTAATAGCATCACTTGATGGTAACTATTCTGGGAGCTGTATAAAATGCTCCTCAAAGTGTCCACCAGAAAAATGAAAAATTTTCCCATCAGCGGCTATCTGGCTTTTTCCAAAAACTGCCCTGTGAGTTGTACATTCCTTTGCACTGCCGGGTCTATGCCGGGACAGGCAATAAGTTCCTGCAGGGGTCAGATGCTGCCTGGTCACAGAATCTCAGACGAAGGAAGATGACAGGTGTAGCTGAGGCAAAGAGGTGACCAGTTTACATCTACGAGCAGCTAGTTGTCAACGAAAACCTGGAGTTAAACGGTCGGGAGGGCAGATGTGAGGCCAGTCTCAACCAGCCGCTGTTAGAATCTCAAACAGGTCAAATGTTTCCGTGTCTTCCACAAATAGAATTGTGTTTCCATCTCATTATGAGTCCAAAGTCAGGAACGACGAATTCTTCCTTAATTTATTGTTTGCTTTGCCAGCAATGAATAACCCTCTAGGTGTAACCTGGTGACTCAGCATAGTGATTCATTGTCATGCCGTCCCATGGCGTCTTTTCTGAAGTACAGCACCGCAGCAAGGACTTGAGTGTGACTGAAGTGGGTACCCTCCCTTCCTGATTTTCCTGCTCTTCAAGACTCGTCCCTCACAGACACCGAAAAGACACAGTGCCAGAGCTGAGGACCCAGCCGCAACCGTCCCGAAGCTCCTGGCGCGGAGCTGACAAGTTTATTTTATTTACTTTTCAAGCTCCGCCGGACACTTACTGCCCTCTCCTTCTTACCTAATTTGCCTTACACTTGGCTCTGCCACCCATTCCCCGCGAGGTTTCCATTCTCTCCGTCGTCTGTTTCTTCTCCTGAAACCATTGGCCTCTGTCGTCCTATTCTTCAAACTCCGGAGAGTTAGGATGTCCAACTAGCCTTAAAAGACTTTTCTGGACAAAGAAGAAAAGAAACCCCTCTAAAATCTTTCATTTTCTCAAAAACAAAATCTAACGGAAGACCACCCCCCGAGGAGCTCAACGGTGGCAATCACACAGGACTAGGAAGGAGGCTCCCCTCCTCCTCCTCACTTCCTGGAGCACCTTCTCCTCCCCGCCCGCAGCCTGCGGGCCCAGGACCTGGGTCGGTAGAGACCGGAGCCCGGACCGACGGGGCAGTTCCGAGGTGGCGCCTAGTGCTTCCGGGGACCCCTTCTGCGAAGGACCCCTCCTTCGAAGGCGGCCCAGCCCCGGGCGCCAGGGCAGGAGAGGAAGCACGAGCGCTCTCTCCGCCCCGGCGCCGGGCGCCGGCTCCGCCCCGCGCCTAGCCAAGGTGTCTGCGCATCCCTGAGCACCGGCCGCAGCAGCCGCGTGGGAACCCGCACCGGGGCCTCGGCAGAGCGGCGCGCGCGCGCTGTCTCCAGGCCAGGAGCCGCTCCCGTCCGGGCGAGAGACCCAGGCCCGCGGCCCCGCCTCCGGTTTAGGTAAGAGGAGGGGGCGCAGCTCGGTCGTGGCGGACGTGGCGGCGCTCAGCGCGGTTTGGTGCGGCTCCGCGGTAGGGGAGGAGGGTATCGCCGCCGCGGCCGCCGAGCCGGGAGAGACCGAGGGCAGATGGACGCCTTTCTCGCCCAGGCTCGTCTCCCCTCCCGGCGATGCTCGCCCGCCATCCTCCCGGCCCCTCGGGAGCCAGGCCTGGTGTTTCCTGTTCGGGATAATGGGCTTGGCAGGAGGAGGCCCCTAAAGGTAGAACACGCGGTTCTCAGGTGGGAAACCTCCCGGCCCTCCTGCCGCGGCGTTTTACTGAAGGGGACTCAAGCCCCGCGGAGGGAGGGAAGGCACCGGCCCAAGGTCACGCGGTAATCGGAGGTCGTGCCAACATGAAAGCCAGGCGTCCTTCTCGACCGCATCCCCCCCATCCTGCTGGGCCCTCCTCGGGGCCTTGGAGGCACCCTTTCTGCCGCTGCGCTCTGGGGCAGGATGCTGGACGCTCAGACCCTTGGTCCAGCTGCGTGCGCACCCGGCGGCTGCGCAGGGCTCGGACGGACCGCGGGGCCGGGGGGGAAAGGGGACAGAAGAGGGTGGACGCGCCGCAGGGACAGCCTGGGGATGCTGGGCTGGTGGCGGGTGCGGGCCCAGAAAGACCAGGGCCTCTGCTGCGGGCCGGTGAGCCGACAGTGGGGCTTTGTGTGGGCGACGCCGCCTCAGCCAGTAGGAGCGCGGGCTGGGCCGAGCCTCCTCCGCTCCGCGCCCTCCCGACGGCGGGATGGAGCTGCTGCTCTATGATTGACTGCGCCGCCGGCTGGGCGGGGCCGGGCCAGGCGAGCAGTGGGCAAGGCGCCTGCGCATCCCGGGCGTCGGCGTGCTCTGCCTGCACGCCGGAGCTTGCCCGACGTTGAGTCGACCTGGGCCCGGCGGTGGGGCCAGACCCTTCGCACACCTCGGGGCGCGTCGTGCCCGCGGCCGCCTCGGGGCGGTGCCGGGCGAGTGGTGGGCTTGGCGGTGCGCAGGGCGTGGGTTCTGCGCTTTTGCTGCCAGCCCTCCCTCAAGGCCTGCCCTTGGTCAGCTGATGCAGTTACGGTCTAGCTCCCCGTCACCGCTTTGAGAGGTTGCAGGGCCACGCATTTAATTACCAGAGCTGCTGCCCGCATCCTCTGTGACGCAACAAATGCCCTTCTTTCCGGCGGGACGCGTCTACCTGGCGGGCGAGATGAGACTGACCTTTGAATTTTGTGTAGCTTTTGCATTCCCTCAATACGCATTTATAGAGCGGCTGCTTCCTGTCGGGCACCGGAGCACGCATTTTGGAAGAGCCTGAAGTGAATGATTTCAACACGTAGGTTCTTGTCTTTTGGGGCGCTCACAGCCGAGATGGCTGTGAATATTTAGGAATACCTTTACTACCACCTCTCTGACCCAAGTGCTATTGTAGAGGCTCAAATGGAATGTGCGAAATGCAAATCTGACTGAGAGATTGGTTTTTGACCTCGGGGACTTGGAAAGACATCTTGGTGGAGGTGTTATTTGAGCAGGTGGGGCTTGTCAGGTGTGGAACACAGATTTGGTGTAGCATGAGCACAGCACTGAGAATAAGAGTGTAATAAATGGCAGAAGAGCAGATAAGCAAAATACTGCTGGAGGTAGGATTCGGAGGGGCCAGGTGAGGATCAGGATGCTCCTGTGTGTGCTCGTTTTGAACGGGTATTTTCAAGGGCAGTGGGGTGTTTTTGTTTGTTTTTTAAACAGAATGGCTTCTTAATCTGTCTGCTGGACTGTCACTATTTACATCTTGAAAAGTCTTCCTTCTCTCCCACTCCCTTTGTGCCCACCCCCACCCCCAATTTAATCAGTGGGTAAATTGTGGTGTCCTCTACCTCCCAAACAAAGCCGGAATCTGAGCACCTCATCACCTCCATAGCTTCCACCTGCACTGGCAACCTTTTGACACCTCTCCCACACCAAAGCCAACCTAACCCACCGGAGCCATTGTCCAGTTGAGTAGAGCAGAGAACTGCCCCATAAGGCTTCCCAAGGCAGGGATTTTTTTTTCCAGGCACATTTGTACATATTTTGCCATCCTCAAAACATTTTCTTTCTACTTGAGCCCTTGGCATCAGCTCATTTTTTCCGCCCTCTCCCACCCTCCCTCCCCCATTCATGAATACTTGATAATTTATTTTAAATTTTTTTTTGTGTCTTACACTGTGATCCTTGTGGAAACCACCTGCCACATCTTTCTCCCTCAGAGTACTTGGTGGGTTCAGACCACTGACCTCTCAATCTGCTGCAGCTGAATGCTTAACTCCTGTGCTACCAGGGCTCCTTTATACATGCAGGGAGCACTTTTGCACATTCCACAGGAGTTGTGCAGTACAGAAAGAGTCCTGGAGTTCTAGCGGGTCCTGCGCTGGACTATAAGATCAGCAGTTCGATCCCACTAACCGCTCTTTGGGAAGAAGTCTGCTCCCATAAAGTCTCAGAAACCCAAGGTCTTGTCTACTCTTGACTTACAGAGTTGCTATGAGTCAAAATCCACTCGGTGGCAGTGAGTTTGGTTTGATGCAGCCCATAGCCTGCAACCTGTTTTATGGTCCTTGATTGCTACGTCACTTCCAGCTTGGTCTCTCTGCTTCTGCCCAATTCCTACCCGGAGAGTTATCTTTTGGTAGTGTAAGTCTGATTCTCTGCTCAAAGGCAATTCTCTGCTCAAAGCTCGATTCATTTGTAGGGCGCTATTCTAGGTATAGGATCCCTGGTGGCATGGTGGTTGTGCTTTGGGCTGCTAACCGTAAGGCCCACAGTTTGAAACCACCAGCAGCTCTGAGGGAGAACAACAGGGCTTTCTACTTCCATAGAGTTACAGCCTTAGAAACTCATAGTAGCAGTTCTACCCAGTCCTGTAGGGTCACTATGAGTTGTCATGGACTCAGTGGCAAGGGGTATGTTCTAGGTATAAGATACCCTGGTGGCTCTGTAGGTTAAACATTGATCTGTTAATCACAGGTCAGTGGTTCAAACCCACTAGCTTGTCTGCAGGAGAAACATGCGCTGGCTGCTCCCCTAAAGCTTTACAGTCTCTGAAAACCTATGTAGGGTCACTATGAGTCAGAATTGATTTGATAGCAGTGGGTTTGGGAAAGGGGATCCTAGGTATAAGGAGCTCTGATGGCCCCATGGGTAACTTCAAGGCCTGCTGTTCAAACCCCCCAGCCACTCCTTGGGAGAAAGATGAGGCTCTTGTAAAGATTTAGTCTTGGAAAGCCTGAATAGGGTCACCGTGGGTCAGATGGTGTGTTTGATTTAGGTATTACGGATATAGCAGTGAACGAAAAAGACAAAAATCCTTGTTCTCAAAAGTTTTCATTTTACTGGTACTGAGAAGTAACTACAATGTGTAGAAAGTTATAATGTGATTA